CTTGTGATCTCTGTCTTTCTCTGTCAAACGAAGAAAGAAAATCCTTGAAAACAAAGAAGCGAGCAAACAGAAGAGGGAACCCAGGAGTCCGGTTCAGTAACGGGATTAGCAGGCTCACTTGGAGGCAGCACCCAGTGCCCTCCCTTGCTTGTCAAACTGTAGATGTGGTGCCTTTGACCCACCAATGCCACTCCTGAAAAGGTACCCCAAAACAGCCCCAGCCTGTCTGTGTATCGTCGCGTGGTTTCCAATGGGGACAAAGAAGGAACCCCAGCACGTGGCTTGCTAGGGCAGGAGGCCGCATGGGAGGACCGGGGTGCAGAGCCTCCCCCACTCCCCTGGTCTCCACCCGTCCGGCCCAGGGAGAGGAAGACCCTTCTGCCAGATGGTCCTCTCTCGCACAGGGCAAGCGGCGCTCCACTGGGCCCAGTAGTCGCCACACGGAGGGTCCTGGCTCAGCCCCTCTGAGCCGAGTGAGGGCAGCCAGGCCCTGACCCCCCTGGTCTCACCAGCATGGGTTCTGCACAGGTGGCTCTGGTCTGTGTGTGGCCTGGTGCCAGGCACGGGGGTCCGGCAGCACAGAGCTCGCTATCCAGCAGGGGCACCCCCGTGTCCAGAGGCTGAGCCCCAGGAGAGCCCAGGGCCTAAGCCTGGCTGGGGCACTAGGACTTCTCTGGGAGCAACTTGGCCTGAGCCATTTCCCTTGTAAGTGGGGACACTGGGGACAGCAACCCAGTGACCCAGGGTTATCGCAAACATTGACTGGGCTGGAGATAGGAGCTATGAAATGGAAGGGAAGGGGACCCTGATGCCCGCTTGGCACCCCTCCAATGCAGTCCCGCAGCTCCCAGGCCGGTCCTGCACCCCGACCGGGACCCTGGCCCGCGGGAGCACCCACACCTTAGCTCAGGGTCCTCAGGGCCGGCACCCGCCAGAGGCTCCATCTCATATCTGGGCCCTGCCAGGCAAGGGCTCCGCGCACAGCCGCGGCCACTGTGCTGGACGGAACAGAACCCTAACCCCAGCCTCTTCCAGAATCCGGGGGGCCCTGCGGTTCTGGTGGAGATGGCAGAGGCGGCAGAGCGGGTCCCACCAGCTCAGTCTACAGGGAGCTGGGACCCCAGAGGGAGGGAGAGGAGGGTGGACGGCCTGGCCTTGGGTGCGGGGCCCCATGCGAAGTCCGGTCTGGGCTCCATGGCCCCGGGTGAGCAGCATCCTCACCGCCCCAGGCCTGACCCCCAGGGAGGGGCCCATGCCCAGCTGTGTCTCCGGGGCTCTCTGGGTACCGGGACACACCCAGACCACGGGAGCCGGGGGTCTAAGCTGTGGCAGATCAGGAGTCATGGGGAGCCGGGGGCCGCCCTGCCCAGAGTGCAGGTGCTCGTGGGCCTGCTGGGCAGCAGAATGCTGCTGCCCAGTGTGAACACATGTGTTGTGGAAAATCCACAAAATGGAGAACCGAAAGTTGGCCCTTCTCCCAGGCAGCCTGGCCCATGGGCCATACCAAGCAGAAAGGAAGGGGGGGCGCATACTGGAATGTACCACCGGCTTCCCCCATCACTGCTGCACATGGTCATACCCCCACCCCAGAGGCTGAGGGTGAGCCCGTGGGGGGGGGCACTCCACCCAGAAAGAGGTGATCCTCCGGGCACAGGGCCTGGCGGCCAGGTCAGCCTGATGAGCCCTTGGTCCACAGCAGCCTGCCTCAGTTTATCCCTTACATACAATGGGCGGGCGCTACCGTCGGGGCAACCAGCACTCGGTTTCAACCCAGGTGACCCCTGGCACTGTGACTATCCAAGGGCCGGGGTGGGGGACACGCAGTGACGCTTTTGGAATGCTTTCTGTCACTGAGTGTCACGTAGAACTAGTATCACACAAAGTATGTCGGCGTCCTCAGCTGTGGATTCTGACAGGACAATTTCCGTCTGACTTCAACGAGGGGACACGGGGTCTTGGCACATTCAGTAAAGAAGACAGTGGCGTCCAGGTGAGGGGGGACAATGCAAGGGCTGGAAACAGACCCACTCGCACTCAGAGCCTAGCATGCGGTAAGGACAGACTGTCGACAGGGGCAGGAGTGGCTTCTGTGGGAAACGGAGTCAGGGAAACCTATTTGGAAAAGCAGTTTGGGCTCCCACCACAGTCCTTCCCAGAAGCAATTTCCAAAATTAAACCAAAAATTTAAATATATATGTAAAAAAGAAACCATTACATTTCCAGAAAAACACATCAAATGTTTTATAATATTGGAGTAGAGAAAATATTTCTGAGCATGACACAAAATGAAGAAACCATACATGAAAACAACTATCAATGAATAATAATGATTTTAAATGCTTAGCAAAAATAATATGAATTTTTTAGAAATCAGAGGAAAAAGACACAGTCCAAGTCAAAAACAAATTATAGATTGGGGGGAGAAACGATTTTAACAGGAAATAGGCTAATTTCCTTCATAAGTAAAGTGCTCCTAGAAAACAGAAACACCAACAACCCAATGGAAAAATGGTTGAAGAATATGAAATACAAACGGCTTTTACATATGTACACGTTAATAACAGATACAGACTTTTCCCATTTTGAAGTGATTATATAAGTGGCAAAAATTAAATTGGACAAGGGGCGCCTGGGTGGCTCAGTGGGTTAAAGCCTCTGCCTTCCACTCAGGTCATGATCTCAGGGTCCTGGGATCGAGCCCCGCATCGGGCTCTCTGCTCAGCAGGGAGGCCTGCTTCCCCCTCCCTCTCTGCCTGCCTCTCTGCCTGCTTGTGATCTCTGTCAAATAAATACATACATATTTATTTAAAAATAAATACATAAATTGGACAAAACTATTGCTATGTTTCATTTCCCTTTAGGAAACACAAGTAAGTGAAGCTATAATGAAATACTATTTTACCCCAACCAGATGTGCAAATGCAAGTATCAGGGATGGGCGTTAGGCCCGTCCTTCCTCGGTGCTTGGTGGGAGGCAATCCCGTAAGGCCTGTTAGTGCACACATTCAGAGACCTGTGAAAAGCCCTTTGACCCAGCACTGCTGCCCTAAAGAACGTCGCCTCAGGCCGACCTGCAGAAACGTTCCCGCTCGGATACAATGACGCTTGTACAAGCTTAGTCAATCTAGCATTGCTTGTTACAAAAAGCCTAGAAAAAACCGGAACTTCTACCAACAGGAAACAATAAATCCAGCACTAACACCATAGGGTGACACAATTGAAATGAATGGCCCAGGACAGGGAGAGCACCCACCCCCGTCCCCAGCTATGTTGGCCAAAAGGGTTACATGTAAAGGGAGAGAAGTTCTGCATCAACACATTAGATGCACACGCACAGACTTTCTTCCTTGACGCATGAGAAAGTGCCCAGGAGGGGGGAGCCAGGCCCTGGAGGTCAGGGGTTGGAGGGATGCCAAGTTTTCCCCCAACGCCCTTCCAAACTCCCGAATTGTTTACTCTGCGTATCCAAGAACATTTCTGTTCCAATTCTAAACAAGTTGTTTTCAGCTTACTGGATTTGTGGAACTCCGGCTCCCGGGGCACCTGCCCTCGGATGGGGTCCAAGGGCAGCGGGGAGGGGGTGGGGTGTGCTTCGGGGAAGAAACGCTGTAGCAGCAGACAGAGAAAGTCAGGCCTGTTGAGAAACACCAGCCACGCCGGGGTCATCTGCACCAGGCCAGGACACAGTGCATGTCAGCAACAACGACCGACCTCTGGCATGCAAAGGCCCTGTGGCGTGCAGAGCAGGTGGGACTTAGGACCACAGGCAGTCTCTCCGGAGTACGCATCTCGTGTCCAGTGCTGCTCCTTAGCGTCGGGTCGTATCAGAAACGGCCCTGAACGCCCGGCAAGCGGGACCCGTGGGGCCCGGGAGGGACGGGGCACCAGCCGCCCGCACCTCGGCCCCTCCCCAGGCAAGGGCACTGCCACGTCGGAGAAGGGCAGGGCAGGGCGGGACCCCTGGGCCCGGGGCGCGCTGAGTCCAGACAGCAAGCCTCGGAGGAGGGGAGTCCTCGCGCGCGCCCCCGCCCCGTCACGGTGACAGGGCGGCACGGACACGTGGCCCGCTCCCCGGACACGTGGCGAGCACGCAGGCCCCCGAGCACCCGGGCCCGAGTCCCCGCCGCAACCCCGGCTCTGCGTCCACTCCGACGCCGACGTCCGTGCGGACCCGCCCCACGGCAGCCCGTCCTGCGGGCGGGAAGGTCGGGGCGCGCAAAGGAGCGGGCGCCGGGAGGGCTGCGGGGCGCGAGCGGCGGCCACTTACCCCTCCTCCCGGGTCCCGCGGGCCGCCACAGCAGCCGCCTCGGCGCGCGGTACCGCCACTTCCGCTTCCGCCCCGGCCTAGCCCCCACGGCGCCATCCCCGCCCCCAGGACGAAGCACCGCCCCGCCCTTAAAGGGGCCGCGGAACCAGGAGGCCTCGGACTGGGGAGGTGGAATGAACTCTGGGCCCCGCTAACGCCACGCGGGCTGAGTCGCCAGGAACCGTTCTCGCTCTGGGGAGGCGCAGAGGACCCCCCAGGGGCTGGTGGTGAGGTCCAGGGAGACCCTGGCTCAGCCCTGCTTTCAATGGCACCCCGGGAGGACACGCTCTAATGGCCCCAAGACGGAAGTGCTCCCCCATCCCAGTCCCTGCTCCCTTTCCTGGGGGTACCCCGCTGGGCCTCTGGACCTGCCAGGGTCACGGTGGGCTCTCCTGGCTCTCCGTGCAGGGGATGGGGGTGAGGACGGGCGGGACAGCACCTCTCAGACCTCGCGTCCTTATTTACCACATGGGAGCGGACCACCACCCTCCCAGGAGGCACAGGCCCTCAGGCACCTGGGGCCGCATGCTCCCTCCCCCTCCATCACCACCCAACCATTAGCCTCGAGGGGTGGGACTCTGGATGGGACCCAAACCCACCTCCTCTTCCACAAGGACATTGACCAGACCCCTGCATTTGTCCCACTCACTGGGCCCTGAAAGGCATGCATGAGCCACAAAGGAAGAGGAACCCAAAAATTTTAAATCTTTAATTTGTTTTCACGTTTTTCCTTCTTTTTGCTTCCAAAAGGAAAGGAGAGCGTAGCTCCGCGCCTGTACATCGTCCACGGCCCCTGGGCTGGGGCAGGTCCCGGCCCGGCCCCCAACGCCCGACCCCCAGCTGTCTCGGAGGACTGGGGTGCCCGGGGGAAGGGGGGATTCACATGCAGCCCCCGGGCCAGGGCGGGGGCGAGGTCCAGGCGCCGCCTTATTGCTGAAGTCCCGGCTCCGCTCAGGGCCCGGCTACACGCGCTGGCTGGGTAGCTCCTGGGAGATGAAGCGGCGCAGGCGCTCCAAGTACTGGCTGTAGAGCTCGATGTCGTTGTGCCCAGCGCCCTCCACCCACAGCGGCTCCACGGCCTTGGGGCAGCGCTCATAGAGCGCCAGCCCATGGGAGAAGTCGATTACTTCGTCCTCTGTGCCGTGGATGATGAGCACCGGTGACGTGATCTTGGACACCTTCTCGATGCTGTAGGGGAGGGCACCGCCAGGCTCTGAGCAGCGCCCCGCCCCGCGGAAGCCCCTCCCCTGATCCCCACCCTGCCGCTATCCCCATCCCCCCTCTCACTTGGGGAACGCATCGAAGCAGTAGGTCTTCTTGGTGTCAGGGAAGGCAACGCGCATGCCCGAGGTGAGCGGCGAGTGCAGCACCACGGCAGCGCACTCGTAGCGGGAGGCCAGGTCCACGGTGGGCACCGTGCCGATGCTCTGCCCATACAGGACGATGCTGTCCGGGCTGATGCCGTACCTGGCGGGGAGGGGCGGGCGGCAGGATCAGCCACAGCCAGCAGCAGCCACAGCAAGCAGCACATCCCCCCTCCTCCGCCCTGCCCTCCCAGGGCAGCCCCCCATTCTCCCTGCGTGGCTCTGGGCAAGGGGGTTGGACGCAGAGACAATTCCCCCTACTCCCCAGCATTATCTCTCAACAGCAAACAGTGCACTCAGTAAGGAGGCAGGGCCTGGGCAGATGCGCTGATGGCTGGCGCAGCTGCAGCCCCGCCCAGCACTAACCCTGTTTCAGCAACAGCATCAACCTGGATTACAGGTGTGGGGTGCCCCTGGTGAGGGCCCCCACGCCATGCTTGGGGTTCGGGGGGACAGGGCAGGCGCTGAGGCCTCTCCTGCTCCCCCCACCCCCCTGCACCAAACCCCAACCACCCCCCCACACTTGACCAGGGACACACCCAGTTCCTGAGAGCACAGGCAGGGGACCTATCTCCCTCCCACCATCCCTCACCCATCTATGCCCTTCGCCAGGAGGAATCGTGGCAGCTGTGTATCCTGATTCCTCCAGCCAGTCTCCAGCCCCTCACTGTGCGGCCCAGTTAGGGGCTCAGTACAACCCAGATGAGCGGGAGTGGCGGCTCCTGTGTGGAGGTGGGCACCACATCCTGCATCTGGGTCCCAGCCCTTCCCCCTACCCTGTACCCACTCCCCCCAATAACTCCCCTAGCACCCCACCCTACCCCCAGCACAGCTGACCCGGCCTCAAGCCAGCTCCACAGCCTCCAAGTGCCCATTCCCATCTGCATGGGGACCCACCAACCACCCTCCCCGGGGAAGAGGCCTCCATGATTCTCCCACAGACCTGGACTCTGATACCCCAAGGGAACACCCCTCTGCATCTCACCTATGTAACCCCCCAAACGGCAAGACTCTACCTGTCTACCCAGGGCCCCCCCCATCTGTCTCTGTCCTGGGAGGCAGCACTCCAGGTCACAGCTGCCTGGCCCCAGGCTTCAGGGACCCCATCTGGCCTTCGGCCCACCACCCTGACTGCCGCTCCGCAGCCAGCTCCCCGCACCACGGAAGGCACCACCGCCCTGAGCAGCAGTCTGGTCCCAACCCTCGGACACCGTCCACTGAAAAACACGACAGATGGCAGGTGCAGCGACGGGTCTTCCACAGCCCTCCCAGGCCCCTGGTCACCACCAGAGTCGAGCCTCCTGCCCTCCCACTGACTCTTTCCCTGAGGGATTGGATCTCTGAGGACAGTGCCGGCAGCAGGACGGACGGTGGGACCGACACGGCTCAGAGCCCTCGCCGCAGAGCAGGCCGTGATCTGCCAGCCCCCACCCAGCCAGCAGGAACCGCAGCAGGAAGGGCTGAGGAAGGCGAGGGCAGCACGTCCCTGCACCGTGCCACCCAGGATGGGTCCCCTGTGCCAGGGTGGTACCAGGGGACCCCACTCCTGGGGCCTGCAGCCCAGACTGCCTGGTGCATCACTTCGGCAACCAGGGTCCCCAACCTCCCCAGGGCAGGCTGACTTTGGCCCTGCGGGAAGGGGGAGTGCAGGGGGGGCCGACAGGACTGAGACGGGGAGCCCCGAGGAGGCAACAGGCAGGGCAGCGCCTCCAGGAGGACCAGAGGTAGTCAGGGCGGCCTCCTTGGGCAGGATTCTTTGGATTCTCAGACACCAGGTAAGTAAGTGGGAAGGGGGCTGCCCAGGAGCTGGATGAACAGCATGGTGGGGCTCCAGGGACGGAGGTGTGGCCCTGAGGCAAGCACACAGGTTTGAGCTGGGGGCCCACACCCAGGGAGGACCTAGCCTCTGCCTGCTACCCTCCCACTGGCCCCCCGGGCTGTGCTAGACACCAAGCTGACAGAACTCTCTAGAACCTTCCAGAACCCTCCAGGTCCAGAGGAGCCCTACCCCCAAGAGGAGACCACAGCCACTGGCCACTCATGCCTCATGGGCCAGCCCTGAGAACATAACAAAACAGCCCCACTCTGCCCCGTAAACCCACATCTCCCTGGGCGGCCAGACTCTCCCGAGTCCTCGTGCAGCCTGCAGGCGTCCTCCCGGGCCACCCTCCAGCCACGCCCTGTGGGCGGAGCCTCCACTCCCCCAGGGACACCCCCAGCCCATCCACACCTGCTCTGGGCAAGGGGGTCCCAGGAGGAGAGGAGCGCCCACCCCACCTCCCCGCACGTCAAGCCCGCCTGCCACACCACTGGGACACAGGTCAGGCCTCGCCCTGCCGCCCAGCGTGGCCACGGACGGCTCCATCTCATGAGGGCCCCTGCCAGGCCCAAGTCCCCAGGCAGCCACCCCAGCCCAGCATGAAGCTCACCGCGTGCGCAGCGCCTGCCAGGCGGCATCGATGTCTGCGTACAGGTTCTTCTCGGAGGGCTTGCCCGAGCTGGCGCCGTAGCCCGAGTAGTCGTAGGAGAACACGTTGCAGCTGATGCGCGTGCCCAGGCCGATGTAGAAGCTGCTCATCTGGCCCAGGTCCACCGCGTTGCCGTGCGAGAAGAGAACCGTGTACCTGCGGCGGGGAGGGGGGCCGGGCGGGTTGGAGGGGAAGGGACAGGACACACCCCTCTTCCACCACAGATGAGAGTGTCAACGAGGGAGGCAGGCCGCCCCTTCCGGCTCCTCCTGGCTCTGTGGTCTTGGGCAGGGGACAGCCGGCAGGGCCGCAGACGTGCCCTCTGTGCAAGGGAACCGCGGGGACCACCAATCACAGTCTCGGCACAGGCCCAGCAGGCACAGTGACTGCCGCGTGTCCTCCCTCTGGGCGGTGGCTGTCTCTCCGCGGAATCCCTCCTTTTTAGAGGCCTTCCACAGCCCGGGGATGGCACGCACAGACGCACGCTGCCTAGACCTGTCCGGAGAGTCAGACAGCGGCTTCTCCTCCCGGCAGCTGGCACCCGCCCTGGCCCCCACAAAGGAATAAAGCCGATCCCTACTCTCAGCACCTCTCCCCACTCCCACAGAACGTGACCCCAGCACTCATTTCCGCCCTGCGAGGCTGCTGGCAGAGCAGGGCCTGCCCCAGGTCACCGACAGGCTGGCTCCTGGCCAGTGGACTCAAGTCTTCTTCCTCCAGCACCCCTGGCCCCCAGCCTAGCTCAAAGGTAAACACTTGCCCTTTGAACTCAGATCGGGAGTCAGAACCCTGCCTGCCCTAAAGGCAGAAACTCCTGGAAGGCCCCACCTCTTTCCCACTATGTACTCCCGGAAGAGCTGCACTTCCAGGCCCCAAGGACACCCTGGGAATGAGGAGTCAGACCTGGCCAGAGCCACCTGCCAGGCTCCGCATGCCCTGGCCCCAAAGCAAATGCCAAGGCCTCCCTGAGGACCCAGCCCCCAGGAGCCCTTCCCAGAGCAGGGGTGCACCGAGACCCTGAAGCAGGCAGCCCCTGGTCGAGGAGGTGACACGGTCACTCAGAACTGCCTCCCTGGGCCTTGGACCACTCATCTGCAAGACAGGGGCTGCACCCGGAAGGACAGCCGGCGTGACGGTTCCGGTGGCCGTGGGTGGAGGGAGGCCTGCCCTCAGTGAGGTCAGCGGCCGCCCTTCTGGCAAGAGCGTTCCCAGGGCGCCTGCACCGCCAGACAGGCTCTCACCTGGGCTCTGGCCGTGCGGCACGACCCCCCGCAGGAAACGAGAGGCCCGAGGACAGAGCACATCCTACACCAGGAGCCTCCAGGTGCCCCTCGCCAGCTGCTTCCCCGCCCCCCAAGGTGGCACCAGACCCCAGAGCACGTGGCGACCGCGAGGCTCACCTGGCACCGGGCACGCAGCGCACGTACATGCAGGAGATGCGGCTGCCCCGGCTGCTCTTGGTCAGGAAGACCTCAATGGTGTCCAGCTCGCGCTGTCCGTACTGGAAATCAGCACGCTCCATCAGGTGGAGCTTCCAGCGCCCAGGGGTGCCGGCAGAGGCCCGCAGGGTCCCCGAAGGGGCGGCCCCTGCTCCAGCAGGCCCTGGCTCGGGCTCGGGCGCCAGCGAGTAGGTGGGCTCTGGCGGCAGGAAGGCCAGCTTGGCGGCGATGCGGCCAGGGCAGGGCGGGCAGCAGAAGAGGCAGCAGAGCTCGCTCACTGACAGGCCGTTCATGGTGGGCGCCGGGCCCCAGGGTGGGCCTCGCGTGGCAGGGGAGGGGTGGGGGTGCTCTGAGACGCGGGCAGGGGGGAGGGCAACCCCCAGCCACCGCCCCAGATGAGAGCCCCCTTAGGAGGCCGCAGCCCAGCCCCATCGTGGTCCAAGCCGAGCCCCTGGGAGCCTCGCAGACTTGCATCTCCATGTCGTGCAGAGGGAAACCCTGCAAGGGAGAAGTGAGAAATGGGGTTCCCTCGGGGTTGCGCCGGGAGGCGCGTGACCCAGTCTTATCCATACCAAGCCTCTTGGCTTCCTCCCAGTCCAGTCCACCCTATTCTGCCCAAACTGCTCCAACCTCCACCCCAGGGGCCTGGGGGCCCAGCTCGTCCTCCACAGGGACCAGGTACCTCCCAGGGGGGCTTGGTGGGACCCAAAGCTGACGAGACCAGCGCCGGCTACAACCTTCCTCAGCGTCCAGCCGCCAGCACTCGCCATGTGAGCCCCCACCTGTCAGCCCAGGGTCGGCCCGCAGGCGGTGCTGGGCCATGAGAGCCCTGGCTTACCCCAGCTGTCCCCACACAGCCCCTGCTCTGGGTCCACACATACGCTGTCACCCTCCCTACGCCTCTATCCCCACAGCCAGCCCAGACTCTCCCCCTAGCCCACCTCTGTGCTCTCAAGGACTCCTATGCCACCCCCTGGTGACACAAGGCGGCCAAGGTGAGGACAGCCTGCAGCCTGGAGCACCCTGGGAGTGGGCTCCAGAGGGCCAGGCCCCGGGGCAGGCCTGCACTGTCCAGAGGCAAGGGACATACAACAAACAAAGGCTCTGGTAACAAAAGCAGGATACACCCAAAGGCTGAGCTGGGACAATGGCTCTCCCCGTGCCGGGGCCAGGCTGGGGGGAGGGGCCCTGGGGCCTGAAGGAGTCCAGCTCCGGCACTACCAGCCCAGCTCTGGCAGCATAGGGCTATGTGGCCTCAGGCAAGGCTCTCTCCCCACCCCACCCCACCCCCCCGAGCCTCTGTGCCCTTGCTGACCAGCAAACATGCCTCTCAGCTCCCAGGGGGAGTAAAGGAGAGAACTAGGTAGCAGACCGGGGGTGGGGGGAGCAGAGACACCCGCCACGCGAGGTACAGACTTCAGCTTCGCCGCGTGAGCAGACAGTCCCACACGGAGCCGCCAATGCAGGCACGGGAAGAAACCCAGAGGCTCGAGGAAGACCTCACCGCCCAGTAGGCCTTTCCCTCCAGACTGGGACGGAGAGAGAGGCACTCATGAGGCCGCCGTAGTGGCAGAGCACCCCGGAGCGTGCCGTTCTGGGGCGCTGGCACTTGGGACACACAGACTCAGAGCAGGCCCCGGCCCTCAGACACACCTGCTCCCCACAGACCTGTGTGACCTGCCACCACGGGCTGAAGACTGCCCAGATTCGCGGCACACGGGAGCAGTGGGCGGGAGCCGGGAAAGCCACTGCGGCCCTGAACTGGCAGAACTCCCGGGCAGGCCGCACCCCGCACGTGCGAGTGCGTTTCAGAAGCAGGGCTCTGTGGTTCTCGCTCCCAGATGAGGAGAGTTTGCCCCAGGACACTAGCCAACAGGGAGAAACATTCTGGGTTGTGACAACGTGGGAAGGGTGCTCCGGGCACTGAATGGGGGAGGCCAGGGATGCTGACAGACACGCGACAGAGCACAGGATGCCCTCCCTTTGCCCAAAAAGGAATGATCTGCCCCCAAATGTCAGCCAGTCCATCAAGCCGTCTGCTTCGATATATTCTCGGAGATCCAGACCCAAACACGGCCGCTGCGCTGGGCGGGGAGGAAGAGCTGAGCTGGACCTCGCACGGCTGTGAAGATCGGTGTCGAGAGGAAGGCCTGGCTGAGAGCCAGGTGGGCAGGCAGGAGCCCGCCGGCCACTAAGGAAATGAAGGGGCACACCTTCATTCACCCGCTGCCCACGCCAGAAACACGGGTGTCATTCTTGACTCCTCCCTCCACTGGGGTCTGATGGGTCTTCCTCCAACCAACACCTGGTCCACATGCCGCCACCTCTCATGCGGGCTGCTGCGCTGTCCGGCCGGCTGCTTGTTCCCCACCCTCACACCGCTCTCCCCAGCAGCCCCAGCGCTCTCCCAGCACACACCCAAGCACACCACTTCTCTGGAGGCCCCTGACCTCCCCCTACTTTCAGGATAGAAATCCAATCTCTGGCACAGCTGGCCACAGGCTGACCCCTGCATCCTCCCTCACTGTGTTCCCCACTCCCCGGGCTCTCCCCAGACAAGCCAGAGTCCGTGCAGTTGCCCTGCCAGGAACCCCTTCCCCCAATCTCAATAGATGGCCCTTGCCCCTTGTCCATTCCACCCTTTGGATCCCCCTTCCAGCACCCTTGGAGAGGCCTCCCGAAGCAGATCAAGGTGCCCCGCGCTCTGCCGGTCCAGGTCTGCCTCCACAGCACTCACCAGAAGTTGTATTTACGGTTTAGCCAACGCCCCCAGGGCAATCAGAGGGCAGGACAGCTATCTGCTGCACCTGCAGACGACTGGGCGAGTGACAGAAGGTGAAGACAAAAGGGGGAAGCTGCGGAGTCTGCCAGGCTTGACAGGGAGGTAGGACAGTCTCTTCTTGGGCCACGCATACCTGGGACCTCCCGCGCACCACTTATGAGCGTCTCCGAGTAAGTCCTGAGAGCGGGGCCTCTGCGCCCGGCGGTGCACACCCACTGCTTCACTCACTGGACGCAGGCCCCTGGCCCCTGCAGCTCGTCTACAGGTGCACCACTGAGCACTCTGCCGCCGGCCCCCGCCCCTGCCAGGCACGGCTGGTGTTCTGAGGACCCACAAGGAACCCAGCAACTGCAGCATCTACGATGACCTACATAGGCGCGACGCCGACGGCACCTGGCCCGGCCAGTCGGGGCGGGAAAGCCGCCTGGAAGAAGGTGCATCTGAAAGGGCAGACTGAGCGGCTGGGTGAGAGGGAACAGGGCAGCGCAAAACCCCAGGGGTGAGGGCGGGTCCCAAGAGCTGCAGGTCTCCCGCCTGAGTGGACACCGGTCCGAAGAGGCGACCAGAGGGGTCCTGGGGGGCGCCAGGTTTGGGTCCGGCGGAGCCCGTGAGCCCTGCGACAGAGTTCGCGCTCCATCCCGGAGGAGTCCTGGGCCGAGCACCGACCCAGGGTACGGGACTGCGGTGTGTTCCCTGGCGGCAAGCGGAGGACGGGAAGGCCACCCGGGTGCTCCAGGCGGCCGGAAGACGCCTGTGAAAGGGCAGGCGAAGTGGCCCGGGAGACGTTCAGAAAGCAAGGCGCCGCCGCGGGCTGCTGCGGTGGGCCCTGGGTCGGGCTGCGGGGTCGGGCGGTGGTCGGCGGCTGGCGGCCGGCGGCAGAGCTCTGCCGGGGTCGGAACGCTGGCCCGCGACGCCCGGCCTGGTCCGCGGGTCCCACAGCCCGGCCCGCGGCCTCCCCGGGAGTGAGGGGTCGGGGACGTCCCACCTGGCTGTCCCGGCCTCGCGGGCAGGCCCCGCTCCCCAAACGGCCACGGGCGGCACTGCGGTCGCCCCGCGCCGCCGCGTTCGCCCCTGCTCGGCACTCACCGCCGTGGCCCGCGCCCCCCGGCCCCGGGGCCGCGCTCCATGGCTCCCGGCCACCCGCCCGTGCGTCCGTCGGTCCCTCGGCGCCCCGGCCCAGCCTCCTGCGCCGCCGCCGCCGCCGCCGCACCCCCACGGGCGGAAATGAGCCTCGATCCCGCCACCGCCCCGGAAGTGACGCCATACGCGCGCGGGGGCCCAGAGGCTGCGGACAGGCGCTGGCGTTGCGTGTTTCCGGGGGCCAGGGGGCGGAGTTGGGGCGGGGGCGGACACGGGGTGGGAGGGGGCCGGATCGTGGTTGGCGGAGCCGGGATTGGGGGAGGAGCTGACTCCCTGATGGGGCGGGGCATGGCGGGGTGGGCGGGGCAGGCTCCCGTGGGCGGGCGTGGCGGCGTGCGGGGGGCCGAGCCCGGGGTTGCCGCCGCGGTTTTCCGCAGAGACCTAGCCATTCATTCGTTCTTTCGCTCATTCCAGGGCCAGGGCTGGGGAAAGGCGAGCGGGGCACTCGCTGCGGAAGCAGAATTTACAGAGGCGCCATAAAGCTCCGTCGTTGGGATAAAAATGTTCTTGCGCTATCGAAAAAGAACAAAATTTTCTCAGAACGGGGCCCTGACCGAATGAGGAGGGAGGCAAGGTCATGCGAGTGCAGGGTCGGGTCCGACCTTTTCCAAAGTCCTTAGGTTTTGTTCACCATGGATTATTTTGCGTTAATTTCGGCTTTTTAAATATTGCATTAAAATACGATGAATCTTTGCACCTGAGCTTTCCGGTGTCCCTTGAGTTTGTGCCCCACGCTCCTCACCCTGGGTCGGCCTCAGCTCCCGCTGCGAGGAGGGAGCGGAGGAAGGAAGAAGAGACGGATAAGGATGTGGGCCGGTAGCTGAAAGGGGAGTGTGGCAGGCGTTTGCCGATGAACCTCCGCTGAGACGGTGGTCAGACAGGCCTGCGGAAGAGGTGACAGGGACAGAATCTGCAGAGGCCCACGGGCCCCAGCCTACAAGCAGGACTGCAAATGAGCGGAACAGCCTTGCCCTTCCAGGCCCCCAAACTGCCTCGCATTTTCCCGGCCTGCCTGCCTTTCCCATCCCATGCCGCAGCCCCAGCCCCCATACCTCCCCCCAACTCTAACCTTCAGTTTTGTTTACAGAGAAAGCCCCAAACTCTGGGCTTCCCAGCCAGCCCTCCCCCAGGGCCCCAGTCCTCCTGACAGGGGCCTGGAGAGGCCCGGGCTCACAGGGGAGACTGCCCAGGGGTGGTTTCCCATGGTTTCCTCTGGCCACCTGCCCCAGCTGCATGCCAGGGAGCTGTCCAGGGGGGCTCCCTCTGCCCGGATGCCTCCCCCAAGGCTCCCAACGTCAGCTGAAGTGCTTCTGAGCTCCAAAGGTCACAACCATGCCAGGCTCCTGCCAATTTCCTTGATTTCCTCATGACTTCTTTGAGCAGGAAGAGGCCTGTCCACAGCCTCCTTCCGCAGCCCTCCTTCCTCTCCAGCCAGATTCCCTCCGGGCTACACCGCTCTGCCCCCTAGGACAACACTGGCAAATACCAGCGAAAGGGCGGTGGGCCCAGGAGATGGGGACAAGCCTCGAATCCCACCCACCCGTAGTTGGCCCTGAGTCACTGAGCTCCCTCCACTGACCAGAGCAAACTCTGCCAAGATAAAAGCACTGTTGTAAGGCTCCCCATGTTTCAGGACAGTCACTTGTGTTTCCTTTCCTCCCCAAAGGTCCTGGGTGGTCCAGCTGCTGGCCCACTTCTACACCTTCTCTCCTTGCTCTCTCCGCCCCAGCCATCTTGGCCTTCTCCAGTTTGTTCCTACCTCAGGGCCTTTGCACCAGCTGTGCCTCCTGTCTGCCTTGCCCTATCCCCAGGTAGCCCCAGGGCCAGCACTTCCTCATCTTCAGTCTCCTGCTGAAACGTCACTCCTCCTCGGAGAGCCCCCATCTCCCAACCACCCCCATCCAGAGACCCTGCCACAGGCACTCCTCTCCCATCATCCTCTTTATTGCCATCACAGGACTTCTTTTTTTTTTTTTTTTTTTTTAAGATTTCATTTATTTGTTTAGCAGAGAGAGAGACAGCGAGAGAGGGAATACAAGCAGGGGGAGTGGGAGAGGGAGAAGCAGACTCCACACTGAGCAGGACCCTGGGATCATGACCTGAGCCCAAGGCAGATGCTTAATGACTGAGCCACCCAGACATCCCCATAATAGGACTGCTATCTCCAATCATTGTATTGGGTTGTTCCTTTGTTTATCTTCTGTCTTCCCCATATTCCATGAGCTCCTTGGGGCAGTGACCCCGGCTTTCGTCCACCGTGTTCCCAGCTGTCCCCCATGATGTCTGACAAATGGATGGATGCCTGACACAGCACGAGGATGATTCCCCAATCCACAGGACAGTGTTTGTAACAGTGGATGGCATCACCGTGACCTCAGGCCATCCTGACTCTGCGTTTCTCCCTCTCTCCTGGCCTGAGACACCCAGCCTCGGTGGAAGATAACAGGCCACAGGAATGTATGGCCTTAAAAATGCTCCCACCCTGGAGCCATGAATTCTAGCATGTGCTGTCCATTGGAAAAGCTACACATGACACGTGGCTACTCGAATTTAAATGAATTGATTAGGGACGCCTGGGTGGCTCAGTGGGTTGGGCAGCTGCCTTCGGCTCGGGTCATGATCCCGGCGTCCTGGGATCGAGTCCCGCATCGGGCTCCTTGCTCGGCAGGGAGCCTGCTTCTCCCTCTGCCTCTGCCTGCCACTCTGTCTGCCTGTGCTTGCTCTCTCTCTCTCTCTGACAAATAAATAAACAAAATCTTTAAAAAAAAATGAATTGATTAAAAATAAATAAAATTTAGAATTCAGTTCCTCAGTTGCAAGGGCCCATTTTAGGTGTCCAAGAGCCACATGGGGGCTGGTAGCTCCTAGATGACACAGATAGAAGAATGTGTCCATCACCCAGAAAGTTCTAGAAGCATCAGCCTAGCCAGCGAGCTCCAAGAGAAAAGGCACCTGCCTCTGTTTCATTCCCTATTGTGCTTCCAGTGTTTCTAGGTCAGGGCTTAATATTCAGTAGGTGCTCAGTTAAGTGTTGATGGAAAGAGAGAAAGGAGGGAGGGAGGGAGAGGTAGGAAAAGAAATTCTTCTTCTCAGGATCTAAGCGAACAATGTGAAATGAGGAGAGCAAGTTCTGTCCGTAATTGTCTCTCCCTGTGTTGTCTCGAATTGCGAAAACCAGGAAAACACCCTCAAAGTGCAGCGGCAGGAAGTGGAGTACAGAGACCACTGGGGAGTCCTGACAGAAACCAGACAAGCGCAGCCCTGGGGCCTGGAGCCCGGGGCAAAGCCCTTTGGGTTTCGGTTTTAGTTTGTTTGCTTGTTTGTTTGTTGTTGTTTTTTTAAGACTCTATTTTTAACATTATTATTTTTTTTAAGATTTTTTATTTATTTATTTGGCAGACAGAGATCACAAGTCAGCAGAGAGGCAGGCAGAGAGAGAGGAGGAAGCAGGCTCCCTGCTGAGCAGAGAGCCCAATGATGTGGGGATCATGACCGGAGCTTTAACCCACTGAGCCCCCCAGGCGCCCCATTAAGCTGGGCCTTTAACAACCCTGCACAGGTGGTCACTTCTGCCTGGGCCCAGCTGTGCAGGGAGACGAGATCGCTGGGGACTGTTCACGATTCCTCACCTTTGATGTGTCTTCCAAGTTTGTCTGGGGCTTGGTGGAAACGGGACTTGTTTCTCTGTTACGATCAGGCAGAGGCTGGAATAAAACCAAATGGCTTAAAGAAGACCGGCTGTTACACACAGATGTGTCCGGGGCGCCCACGGGTTCCGTCGTTAAGCGTCTGCCTTCGGCTCAAATTGTGATCCCGGGGTCCTGGGATCAAGCCCCATGTCGGGCTCCCTGCTCAGCGGGAAGCCTGCTTCTCCCTCTCCCTCTCCCCCCGCTTGGGTTCCCTTTCTCACTGTCTCTCTCTCTGTTAAGTAAATAAATAAATAAATAAAATTGTTAAAAGCAAAACAACAACAACAACAAGAAATTAATGTTTCTGCTTCTTAGTGTCTGCCTGAGAGTGAGAGGGACTCGAACAGGTGCACTTGATACAAAAGTAAGACCCCTTACCTCTGCCATGACGCGGAGGGACCCCGAGGACACGGGGCTCAGGGAGAGCAGCCAGATCCAGTAGGACACATCCCGCAAGACCCCGCTCCCAAGAAGTCCCCAGAAGAGTCCTGTCCACGGAGACAGAGAAGAGAGGGTGGGAGCCGGGGCTGGGGCAGGGGGTGGGGAGTCCGTGCTTCATACCGATGAGCTGTGCACTTAGAAATGGCTAAACAGTAAATTTTATGTTATGTGTATTTTACCACAATAAAATAGATAAATACACCTTTATGAAACCACGAGGTGTGGGGACAGCCCCAGGGCTCAGGGCAGCACCAGCTTCAAGGGGCTGGGACCTGTGTAGTCGCCCAGAGCCTCCAGCTTCAAAGAGCCCCTCCCTTGGGTTGTTGCCCTGTGGCTGTTGCCATGAAATTCCTAATAAGTTCTGAACAAGGGGCCCCATATTTTCACTTTCAACTGGGATCTGCCAATTATATGGCCCCTCCTGATTTGCACAACGGACAGGGAACCCCAAGTTCAGGGTCTGGGACCCTGGGGTTGGTGGAGAAACACCCCAACTTGCAAGTCTGTCTTTACCCCACCCTGAGAGGAGACAGTGAGACCCAGTCAGGAAGTGGGCTCCTGACTGGGTGAGGAAGGAAGTGGGGGGCATTTTAAAATAGCTCAGCTGGCCCAGCAGATGGAGGTGGGGTGGGTGGGGAGGATGGCCCTGGAGGGAGACAGGCCCTGGAGGCTCGGGACTTTCACCCAGGAAGCGCTTCCTGGGGACCCAGCCCTCTCCTTTCTCTCTCTGCTCAGCCAGA